CAAAGCATCTCTACATACCACATAGCTCGCAGGTGGCTGGACAGTACGCCTTCATGTAGGAGTAATATGGCCCTCCAGGTCGACAAAAACCTCTCTGTTTCCAGGAATGGCAATGAACATGGTCGGGGCAGTCCTTGTCTGTGAAGAAACAAAAAAGAATGCTTTACACAAATAGCCTGCCTTCCCCCTTTCCTTTTTGTATTCCTGTCAATACCTGTTGTGACATGACCAAAATCAACGAACCCCCCAAAGGCAGTATCCGGATAAAATGCACAATGCTACTTATTTTGCATGGGAACGAGGTTAGGAAAAATTAATTATAGAGCGATGACGTAATTATTTGCCTTTTAAAAACGGATTAAGCAAATTGAGGAGCCTGGCAAATTGTTGACTCGAAACGTGACTCCAAGTCCAGCACGAAATCCATCTCAGTCGAACTCAAACTCGAAGCAAAACTGGAATATGCTTTATTTCAAGTGTTCTGACAATTTCAGGTATCAGGCGATGGCCTCAGTTTGACTCACGCCCCTGTAGATAAGACTTGTTACATATAAATTGCGCAATTTCCCACAAAACGTATCTTCCGCTCAGCTGCCATCGCGTGGGAGATGCACCCCACAAATCTTGGGCAGAAGTGAGCACCAAGTAGCAGATCATCACATGAGATGGAAAAATGCTTGCTTTCCTCCTAATTTGAATGATAAACATCGACAAAATTCGGATAAATGTCCTCAACAATTACGCGTGGTGTCAATGATGTTAAACTTTTAAAACTCAGAAAGGTGTGAGATTGAGGTGTTTTTATTCCAAATGAAAGGGCGATGTGTCGCGGCTATTTAACAAGAAACACTGTAACAGCGCCGAAGAACTTTCTAATAAACCCTATTTTAAAATATTACAAACAAAAAGGAAAGAGATCAGGCACGATTTTCAATGCTTTATTTTTTAACTCACCTCCACACAAGTTACACGCTCCCTTACACTTAAGTACCATCGTCTTGTAAAAGGACTTGCTTGGATTGCAATATCCCAAACCGCTCCAGTACCTGCAGTTCTGGTGATCCGAAGAGGCGCATACTTTATCTGTGGATTTGAACGAAGTGTGGGCTGAACTATAAAATTACTTCTTCTTTTAATCAGTTAAAAAAAAGCATGCAGATAATAAATTATATACATGTCAAATTATTTGATCTCTTGCATCGATGATCTCAACGATATTCATTGGATCGTTTATCAGAACACATTCTTAAGTAAATTTTGGCTGTCATTTTTTCTTTAATTAGCAAGCTATGATTTCTCTCTGTCTTTCTCACTCTCTTGCTTTTGCTCGCAGATGTGAAAACTATAATATGTACTGGGCAGATCACGGTAAAAGTTTTTTAACGATCACTGCATTCAACTTTCACAACTACCACTGCTTTGTTTCAAGCCAAAGAATGTAATTAACCCCGCCTGCATGTGATTAGGATACTCTCCAGGGGCTTTGAATTCGAGTTGTCTTCTTCTGTAGCGCAGATATTTACGAATGTAAACTTAAAAATACATGATTCACATTCTGGATGTTGTCTAAGTACATCCCTGGCCATGCAATGATCTTATGTCTAACAACTACAGTCGCATCATATAACTCCACTTTGATAATCGCACCCAGCCCGCAATAAGCTCAAAAACGCAACGCATTTCATAACATGACCAACAATATTCTTGCGTTTGATATAGATTAATCTTTTCGAGTACCATGATTGTCTTTAAACTACATTGTTTCAAAAATCATCATAGATTTTTCTACGTTTTTCTTCTGTGTGATCATAAGACATCAAGTAGTGTTTATGCAATATATGTCTACGCTGATTGACGTGCTAGGATCGAAGAGAGAAGATGGATAAAAGGCACAAATGGAAAAGGAGGTCTAACATTTTTTTTTTGTACAGAGTTCCGTGTTATCTGCATTCTGCATTGCCGCTGATAAAATGGAAGACGAACGTACGCCAAACATCACGCTAAAATTAGCAACAGATAACAAAAAACCAAAACATCACCAACCAGTAACAGAACGCTTGTTAACCTTGACGCTTCCTCGACCAGATTTCGTTGTTCGTCGTGTCTTTCCCTTGCATAAAGCAAGAAGAGTGAAAAGAGTTGTCACGAGGAGTATGAGACGCATGTTGTTCGCGGATATACACTTCACAGAATGATCGTGCCGTGGTTTATTGCGAGTGGTAATATCCACGATACTCAGTCAGGGGTTGGGGTGTGTCGAAACCACGAAATGGTTCGCACATGAAACTTAATTTCTAACACCTTCAGCTTTATTGCGGGGTGAAACATGATGGAAAATTCTAGCCTTTACCTGGCCATTTGTTAAAGAAACCATCGAATAGTCTGTGGACAGAATCTCACCGCTTCTGGTGTACAGGCAGCTCGCGTGCAAAGTACTTCGCAGAAGGTCTTATTAGTCGGCCGGCCGGCGATCTACGAAAGGATATTTCGTGTATGAAGGACCTCCTGAGGGCTTCGCGACATGAAGAAGTTTGCGACATGCTAGTGACGAACAATTAGGGTGGTGAACAATTGTGGCTTCCTGGCGTTTTCCGCTCGCCTCTACCATACGAGAGTCTGACAAGGACTGGAAAAATTCAAGAGTTGCACTTGACTCCCAATTCCTGAACTCCTGGAAAATAATCACGATAACTTGTTTACATATTGGAAAAAAATAGGAATATAACAGTATCAAGTTCACAGTATCACTCAAATCAATGTGTATATTGTACGTGTGGGTCTGCTAGCCAAGAAATGTAGAAGAACCCTACTTCTGGCAATGGCTAATCGACCCTAGGAATGTCATATTTTTAGTATAGTAATCGCATGGGGACTAGTAAAATTTCATGTTTTTTCACAAGTTGTGCGACGCCAAAGCAATGATATTAGCCCTCAAAAAGAGACTTTCGCCATCGATGAAATTATTATACTTTTAGCAAGATTGAGCCTTTTTTACTCTTTTTAATTTCAAGTAATTTTGCTCGTGGGAATTACTGGCATGACGAAAAATGGCAAGGCAGCTTTCGTTCAAGATTATCAACAATAACTTGAGAGCAAACGAAACCCTAAAATGGAAAATGATTTTTGTCGTGAAACGTTTCTACGCTAAAATTTATTTCCTTGATTTATTATAAATTTGATTGTGTATCAAGTAAGTTGTAATGTTGTTACCGTCAAAGTACAGTGTTACCGTCACAATTAAAGTAGCATGTAAGAAGAAGCGATGTTGGATAATCAAATTAGTTCTGCGAACAGTGACTTATCTAATTAAGTTTTTCCAGGGCGTTAAGCGCGTAGGAACATAGCAGCAGGATTGTTAAGTAAGGCCATGTTTGATTGGAAATTAGTGCACGAATCGTTGTAGAACGTGAGCAAGTCTTGAATTCCACACTGAATTACGTGGATTTCATATGCTAATAAAGGTAGCAAATTTTTTGCAACCTTAAGACAAGATTGTACTATTGATAGCTAGATCGATAGATAGATCGTGGAACTGTACGTGTAATGCTGAATTGTCGACATTAACACCTGAATCAAGTAAAAGTATGCAGTACACGATTACTGAACCAGGGTGTGCGGAATTCTTAGTAACGCAAGTGGGAAATTCTGCGAAAACTTTGATCCATTAAAAAATTTGTGGTGGGAAATGCAACAATGAGAAAGAAAGTAATAAACAACTTATAACACAACAGGGCCATGCAATCTGTGTTCCTTTGGAGGCCCCATTAAGAACAAATTCTGACGAGTAATTCATTTGCTTTGGTTCAAGAGAAGCGTGTGATTTTCTCCTTGGAAGGTCACTCGACTCGTAGCTGCATCCATTTGAATATTTCCTATGATCAATACTTCATAAAAGGACGAATTTCTTCTTTAAGGTCACTTAGTGATTAACTTGCGAATCGAAACAAGCGTGTTAGAAGGAATTTTTCCTTTACTCTGTACAATTTAAACTACTGCAAGGTAAGTTTAAGGTGTGAAGGTTTAAGATCACCTTCACCTATTCAGTCGTCCTAATGACTGCCCATCTGCACTGTATGTGTGTAACCCGGCTGTTTTACGCCAGTTTTCGTCTTCTAAAAGCCGATACAGACAGTAGAAGTGACTAAAAGAAAGGACCGAAGAAATTTACTCAGTTGCCAACTTTTCGAATTGTGGGTATAATCTGCTAAATCGAGCTGAAATTTGGTCGAAACAACAGCAAAACAGATATCTCCATCGAATCCAAACTCCCTTAAAAGGAGTTAAGTAATTGAGTTCTGAAAGTGTACAAAGAATGTGATCTAAATGCTGTCTTTATTTCTTTATCCCTTATCTATCGCTTAATAATACAAATTCTATGAGATTGAGTTGTCCAAATTCTAAGTTCATCCCCCTCACTTAGCTACTCTCATTTTTCTTTCCATTGAATTTCATCCCATTGATTGCACTGAGCTGGCGACTCTTTGAGGCCCTGAAAAAAAACAATTTAAAATTTATCTATTAATGAATTTGTAAATAAATCTGTCAATCTGTCAGTGAGTCAGTTAGTCAGTCATTGAGTCTGTCAGTCAGTTAGTCAGTCTGTGAGTCATTCAATTAGTCAGTCATTGAGTCTGTCAGTCTGTCAGTTTGTCAGTTTGTCCGTTTGTCCGTCTGTCAGACTGTCAGTCTGTCAGTCACTCAGTCACTCAGTCTCTCAGTCAATCTGTCAGTCTGTGAGTCAGTCAGTAGGACTGCCAATCAATCAGTGAGTCAGTCAGTTAAATTACCAATAATCGTCATTATATCAATGGCATTATCTTTCAATCGATCCTCAACTTTTGTTGTATTTTCCTCCACCAGCCGTACATCTTCCCATTCCTCCCTTAATCCATCAGGTTGTCCATTTGTCCGTCCATTAAGCTGCTACCTTATTCTCTAAACTAGGGTGGGTCGATTTATCGAACGATTACCTTCAGGGGGATAGCTTATTCCCCACATTTTCACTGAAGAAACCTTTGACGTTTCCTGCCGGATAATAGCGAGCCACAATGTATATTTTTTGACTGTCCCGACCCGGTTGAAGTTTGAGCCACTCCAACGGATGTAGTTGCCTTCCACACGACCTGAGGATGGCAGATACATGCCATTTTAAAACGGAGTTTAAGTTTATCTAGGAAGAACTGAGTAGGTATACACCCCGCGGATTTGGGCTGAAATATCTCGCGAATCGAGTACGTATGGAAAGATTTAAGAGAAATAACTAATTGGAGTGGTATTGTGATCCACAAACTGGATAAAAAATGTTTAGCTCAGATACAGGATTCTGGTTGGTTTGAATGCCGAATCGTTGTCGATTGGGCTAGGTCGGTACGTTAGTATTTATTTTATCAAGACAAGAAAGAGGGAGGGTGGTCGGTTTGCACATCTCGGTTCCAGCCCCCCTGTCTCGATTAGGGTGGAACCTGTTTTATGCGTGTCAGAGGATGCATGTAAGGGTGCTTCGTCCCCTTCAATTTCAAGATTTATAAAATTAGTTTTGCAGGAAAATCTTTCCAGCCTCATACGAAACCCCTCAATTTTTGCTTGTGTTTCTCTCCTTCGAAAGACTATAGGCTCAGTTTACCCTGAAGGTTTGGTGCGTACGTCAAAGTGGAGGGTGTGAAACTTTGACGACGTTATTGAGTGTGCAATGTTAATGTTTGAATGCTGTTATGAGAATCAATATTTTCCTTTCGTCTACTGCTGTAGTCACAATCAGATACGAGTAAATTAGCCAAGCCTTTTAACCGTTATCCCAAAAAGATCTCAATTCCTTTACCTTTTTCTTTCGTTTCTTAGATTTGGACACTGGTCCTTGTCTTATTAACAAGTACGATTGTTCTGTAGGATTTGCTAAACCCTCAACTATTTCAGAGTAATAGTTGTGTAGACAAACTTTTCATGAGATATCTTGAGATATCTAATGCTACCATTTAGTACTGATTGCCCTTCGTTCGTCGAGAAAAATGATTTCATTCCATTACGGAAGGACTACGTAAAACAAATAAACACAATGATATCTACAGGTAAGCTAAGGAGTTTACCTGCGTAAAGTGACCCGTTTGGGATGTAAATCCAGGGTTGCTATAATCGTAATTGGGTTCTTCATTGTCATACCTTAAGAAGTGGGGAAAATGGTATATTCTAGCTTCAGTCGTCTAGAGGTTTATATTGCTTTTAATGTAATGGTTCTGTAGGTAAGCGTAGATCAGTAAACGTTAACGTTAACAAATCTCATTTCAAAATGTACATATATCTAAAATGTCATATTTCATTTAAGGTACAATAAGTGGCGAAAGTCTTTTGCACTCTCTACTGCTTTTTGAAATTTTTATATGACGCTCATTGTTTCCCCCCTCTCCCACATTTTAATGTTGCCTATTTTTAGCTAAAACCGTGGCGACCGATATTTTTCCACCTCGCCTGAAAAATTTTCAAAATTTTGCACAATTTAGCCTGTTCCTTTTCGTAAGTCCAGCCAAGCCTATATGGTCATTGGCTCCCGTAATAGCATTTAGTGTTCACTTGTATAACTACCTGAAGAAGTCTACGAGAGTTTGACGAAACGCGTCAGAGAATAGAGAAGTTTTATAACTTCTGTTCGCAGAGTTCCACTCACTAGTTTAGTTTTTAAAAAAAAATGTTAAAAGTGAATTTCACTTATTTCAGGAAACATTTTTGGGGAAAGGGAGGACTTGAAACAAGCTTTGACGAATATTTACAACATTTCTCTTTATTAGGCCGAGTGTAGGGTTGTCGACCATCAAGTAAGGGGGAAGCACGTCAACTGCTTTTGTCACTCATTGTAGTTTCGGGCTATTGACTCTAAATCGTAATGTTTTGACTATTCTGAAGTGGTCAGCCTTACCAAACTTTTGCGAAGGTTGTTAATTTACTGCATGTTTCTAACTGATTGGAGCAATCCTTCTTTTTTGAAGACGGGCATGAAGCAACGATTGTTATTAAACACAATATTAGAAGAATTTTTAGGACTTTCTATGTAATGTTAAGTAAATTTGCAAATCAGAATTGCCCTACCATCCAATCAAGGCATCAGCACAATCAGCAGAGTCATGTCCCTGAAAAAAGGCTATGTTTTCTCCTTCACCATTGAGATTAGGATCATGTTCAATAGTGTTGTTAGCTGCTAAGTAATCTGCCCAGACCTGAGCGCGTTGTACCAAAGTGTCATTCCAGACCAGCGGATCTGCCCCATGCAGAGCACGCCTGTCGTTGTGTCCCTTCAAACAGGCATTTTCTGTAAAAATTCAGAGCGATTGTAAATGATTATCCTTAAAGGTCATATGCTTTAAAAAGAGCAGTTTTCTTTGGCATGTTCTGAAAAATAAAAAAAGAGCGTACATATCGCAGGGTTCCACTGATGAAACTATACGGCACATTTTAAGGTCCATATGTTTATACTTTACCGGTGATTCATTAAGTCAATTTAAAATGAAATGATTTTGTTGGAGCAATTTGGGTTAAATTAGCACAAGGAGGGTTTCCTAAGACGTGTAAAAATTAGATACATCCTATATTAGTTCCCTAGACAAAATTTCAAATTTTTGCACTTAATTTTCTTCTTTCATGCTCCTTTTGGAATTAATCTATGTGCTTTCAGCTAAAAAGCGAGTTGGAATTTTCATGCAAACTTTTACTTAACTCAGTAATAAAACTTTTATATCTAGGGGAGAAAAACTTAAAGAAGTAAAATATCTGTAATACCAGCGGGAGCTGGAGGAGCTGTCGAAACCTGTGAAGTTGTGATCGGCGCATTCGTGGTTGAAGGATTTGCAGAAGTACTGGGTGAATCTGTTGTTGAAGGACTATCCGTGGTGCTTGGTTCCCCCGAGGTCACAGGGCTAGCTGTGGTACCTGGAGCAGCAGTGGTACCCGGTGCAGCAGTAGTACCTGGGGCGGCAGTTGTACCTGGTGCAGCAGTGGTACCTGGTGCGGCGGTAGTACCTGGTGCAGCAGTGGTACCCGGTACAGCGGTGGTGCCTGGTGCAGCAGTGGTGCCTGGTGCAGCAGTGGTACCTGGAGCAGCAGTGGTACCTGGTGCAGCAGTGGTACCTGGTGCAGCGGTGGTGCCTGGTGCAGCAGTGGTGCCTGGCACTGCAGTGGTACCTGGTGCAGCGGTGGTGCCTGGAGCGGCAGTGGTACCGGGTGCAGCAGTGGTACCTGGAGCGGCAGTGGTACCTGGTGCAGCAGTGGTACCTGGGGCAGCAGTGGTACCTGGGGCAGCAGTGGTACCTGGTGCAGCAGTGGTACCTGGAGCGGCAGTGGTACCTGGTGCAGCAGTGGTACCGGGTGCAGCGGTGGTGCCTGGTGCAGCAGTGGTGCCTGGTGCAACGGTGGTACCTGGAGCAGCAGTGGTACCTGGTGCAACAGTGGTACCGGGTGCAGCGGTGGTGCCTGGTGCAGCGGTGGTGCCTGGCGCAGCCGTAGTGCCTGGTGCAGCAGTGGTACCCGGTGCAGCAGTGGTACCCGGTGCAGCAGTGGTACCCGGCGCAGCAGTGGTAACTGGTGCAGCAGTGGTCACTGGAGTTGTAGTGGGCTCTGAAATAAACCATTTAAGTGAAAGGAGACGTTATAGGAACTCAGGCAAAGTTTTCTGAGAAGCTTTGACCTTGTACTCAACGATGATAGCGTCATTGTTGGATTTTCTCTGTGAAGAATTACTCAAAGGCATAGAACTGTACTTATGCAGGAAGTACGGTTACGTCAAATGAATTATACATTACTTCTGTCTACAAAAGCATCTGCTTCTGTGCAAACGTAAGAGTGCCAAACGTCAAGTTAGACATGTCTCTGTGATGTGCGAATGAACAGAAGCATGGTAAACTAAAATTTATTTTTTATACAGTTGTCCTGTATGTGGAAGGAGCAGATCACGTCGCTACTTACGGACACAAAATCCACATGATGTTTGACAATGAAGTAACATGTATCGGTAGTAATAACTGCCGGAGCTACAATAACCAAGTCTTTTCCAATACGAGCAGGATCCATATGAGTCAGGTAAACAATCTAAAGAGAGAAGACGACGAAATTGAAAGGTCAAGAAAGAAAAAAAACGACTTAAAAGAACTGCCAGCTAAAAATACCTAGATACCCGGTGCATTAAAATCATATCGGGTGAAAAGAATTTTTTATGTGTATAAATAATTATTAAAGTGATAAATAAAGAAATAAAAAAAATCTGACGTACTTTTCTGTAAGAACTCTACAAAATAGGTTTAATATATTGGCTCAGTTCCTGGAGTTTTTACCTCAAGCCGTATGATAAGGACGTTAGTTCCTTTCCATGTCCTTCACTAGATTATTTTACTTACTACAAACGCTGCACGTAGCCGGGCAGTAGGTGATCATGTACTTGTAGTAATAGTTTCCTTGTTGGCAGTATCCTCGGCTGCCCCAATATCTGCAATTTGCATTTTTATCCCTGCATGCTAACACAAAGAAGGAATACACAAATATAGTTTAGAATTTTTTTTAAACTAAATGTCTGTAACTATAAACAAAATGAACCTGAAATGAGTCCTTTTTACACCCGATTCCTTTTACAGAGGCTGGTGCGGTTCTTATTCTTTCAGGTCCTTACATATAGGCCCTGTTGGCTTCGTTTTTGATCAGAATTTAGTTTTTCAAACATGTTGACGAGGTCAAAAGGTGTAATTTGCATGTATACCAAAAAAAACAATCAAGTCTGCCATTTGTGACAAAGGTCTTTCTGTAACTCTACAGCCCTGTTGGGTTCGCTTTTGAACAGAATTTTTTTTAGACATGTTGACGAGGCAAGAAGGGGTAATTTGCATGTATACAGAATAAGAACAATTAAGTCTGCCATTTTTGACACAGGTCTTTCTGTAATTCTACTCTGTCGCAGAAATAACGATAATTGTTTTTTACAAAAATGGCCGTTCTTAAAAAAGTGGAACAAATTGCACAAGAGCAGAGAGGGTTGCTTAGAAACATGACTAAAGGAACCTTCCGGAATATAAAAAATAGACGACTTTCTTTCAAGTGATTTCGACGAGAGAAAAAACGTAGCTGCTTGGGGAGTGTACAAAGAACTCTGCATAGTGTAAGGCTCTGTTAACCCTTAACTCCCAGATGTGATTAACCTGAAACTTCTCCATTTAATATCCACACATTATCCAGCAAATAGGTATTGGGAATACTCAAACTTGTCAGGTAGAAGTTGTTACCTTGATTTAACGCCAAATTCTCGTTACTCATTTAAAAGGAAATGTGTATAAGATAGAAGGAGAATAAACATTCAGATCTTGAGAGTTAAAAGGTAAATGGTTCGTACCTAATATAATATACCGCTGAACCCACCTTCACAAAGACCGCATGTCCTCTTGCAATACATCCTCATTGAGTTGTAGTAATAACTGTTGGGATGACAATATCCAAGACGTCTCCAATAGCTGCAATACTGATACCAGTCAACGCAGTCTGTTTAGGATGAGAATTATCAGTTACTCTAACTGAATAAAGGTGTACGTTTCTATGGAAACTGTGGTGCTACGTCGGTGGGGGGTGGTTATTAAAAGATGATTTGGCTTTATCAACTGAATTAAAATGAAATTGGTTACCGTATTTTTCAAGCTTCAGTCCTTCGTCAGAGCGAATACGAAGGGCTATCGCTAAAAACGCTGGCTTTTGAAACTCTCTACGGCGGCCAGTTTACATTGACAAATTGGTTGATAAAACCGAGTCACTTTAACCTGTCCCTTTCTTTTGCTATAAGCGCTGAACATATATAGGCCACCTTTTTTTCAACAAATTAGAGATAACATAGCTTAGCTAATGTCTTTGCTTCGCATTATTAAGACTGTAGAATAAATTTCATGGCGGGAATCATGTAACCTCTTTCTTGTAACTTTGAAAAAAGTTCAACGCTTACTGGAACACCTGTATCTATAATACCCTCACTCTTGTAATCAAACGTTCGTGAAGGAATCATTGTAAAGGCCCTCAATCACTTCCGTCGATTGAGTTTGATGTTTCAATGTTTTTCGTTGGCACTTTTGCGATGAAGGTTGTACAATTTACGGCATATTGAAATATAAATGGTTCTGGTGTTTTTTTTTCCTCAAACTTTGGAAAAAGATTGGCGGAGCAGATTTGATCAGTAACGGTATGAATTGACCACTTTGATGACTGATACTTAGAGGTGAAGCGGAACCCACTGGGTTATCATAGAGTTATCAGTAGAAATGGAGACAACCTCCATCTGTGTAAGTCTTGTTTCAATAGACTCGTATCAAGAAATGTGGATCAACTTAGATAACAGCAGGCTTTGTTAAACGATTAACAATGATCGTATATGGCTACTTTGGAACAATGGCAGAAACAGCTTTAAAATGCACGCAAAACTGTATTCAAAATGTCCTATTATCCTACGAGCGGCAAGTTTAAACCATCGGCAAAACTGACGATAAGACAACTCCTCCCCGTGGGGGTGATTCTGATAGATTTTTTAGGATGAAAATAGTCACGGTGGGGTGGATGGTGGGGCGACTGTAGCTTTCGTACCTGAAGTAAAGAGATGTCACTGTTTTTTGCTTTATATTTTCTGGTTAAAGCCTATCCCAATGGTGATACTACTTCTGCTTCTGCAATTGCGACTGCTATTGCTGTTACTTCTTTTGCTTCAGAATTAACTTAGAGATACACTTCCGAAGATGGAAAGGAAACTCACAGGTAAGAATTTAACTTTTCGACAGTAATAATAATAAACAACAAGAAATATACTCAAAACTTTGGGCGATAGCACATGGCAAATGTCTGACAGAACTCGTAAACGTTCGCAATTTCACTGCATTACACTCAAAATACTTACGGGAGCGCTTGGAACGCAGAGAAGATTGTTGTGGCCTCGCTGAGCAAGCGATCAATGACACAAGGATTAGAACAATAGGTAATGAGCGCATTCTGAACTGTTTAAAAGCGCAGCCAAGTTAGTTGAATCGCTTGAATCAGATAGACTCCCCTGAGTGTTGTAGATCCGTGAATTCTAGTGTATGGTGTTATCGGAAGGAAACATTTCATATTTAGTTTATACAAAAATAAACAAATTAATGCTTCATGTGGTCTTAAATACAAACAGGAAAATTAAAGCTTTTAGATTGTTTATTTCCTAATTGTTTTGGTCGTAAGAAAGTGTGTGCTTTATCCCATGCTAAAATGCCTTTTTTTCAGGAACTGTCTAAAGCAAAGGCGTGAAAATAATGGTTGTCTTCCCTTCACGTCACATGAAATACGTGATCTGTCTTTAAAAATAAATAGAACGGCGTGTTAAAAGTACATATTTAACCACTTAACAAAAACACAAAAGGTTCATTGACATATACACCAATGCAATTTTTTTTAACAAATTTCCTTGAGTGTTTTTAAGGATCACGCGAAGCAATCTTCCTCTTTCTTGCCTTTACTCAATAACTTTGAAATTATCGATAAAAAAAGCGAGAGCTTTGCCAAGCCACTTAGAACTAAGCTAAACAAATGTAAAGGAAAGCTATTCCACAGTATTGATTCTTTGACCTCCTCGTTAAAAGATTTCCGTCCTTGATTTTAGGTGTTTAAATTGTTAAAGTATTTCTACTTAATTTTTACTGCCCACTACTAAACTTTTAGCTAAAGTACACTCTAACATTTAAATGATTTTTAATTACAGTTTGTTTTTACTTTCCAAGCTAAACTCACAAACAGAAGACTTGTATACTCAGTCATCGTATGACTTGTTTTTTCGAACAAGAAATTTAAGTTTTAGATGAAAGTACCGAAAAGAGAAAGTGATAGATGTTTACAGCGGCTATGAAAGAAAATTAATAATGGTCAGATCATAAAAGTTAAATGATTGTCGGACAGGTTTCTAGACCTAATTCCCGTTTTACTTTCTAGAGTACTCGATTTAATTGTAATACTCTTGGAAAATCTAAAGAATTTCTTTTTTTTTTTCTTAAAAAAAGATATACTATCTTCCTATCTCGCTTGAATTTACGCATGTTAACATTTTAATTATCAATGATTACAATTTACTTAGCTGTCTCAGCTAAACTCATAAACACTGTAAATACAATATTGTCGAAGAAGATGGTCTATTTGAGTTTTTCCTAAAAAGCTTGATTTTCTAAGTGAGCTGATGATGGTCTTTAAAAAGTTTTAAACCAAACCAAAGGATTTCAGAATGGTTAGAGAACTTATTTCAAAATCATTAACCATGGACTAATTAAAATCGGTTTTTTGTTATCAAAAGTACCTGATATCACTTTTTCTCTTCACTTGAACTATCTCATATAAATTTCGTGGCAAGTTATAAGCTATTGGAGAAATATTACTTATGATTACTTTTTTACGTCAGGACTATCAATATCGTATTTATTTGACAGCTATTTTGAGGCAATGAACTCTTAGTTGTTGTCATTCGGTTTCCAACCAGTTTGTTAAGATTATTGGTCATTGGCATTTCAAAATTATTTCCATGACTGTTTGTTTTAAAATGCCATAATGATGCGCCTTTGTTCAGAGGACAAAAGTTATACTAACTGATTAAGAGTAAATATTTATATATAGTTAATGGTATCTACATGGATCGGAAGATATTTTTGCGTCTTGTCACGGCCGTGGAACAAAGAAAAAAAATTCTGAGTCCCCATGAGGAATCGAACCTCAGACCTTCGGATATTTTATCTTGTCTTAGAAAGTTACGCATTTCTGAATCAATTTAATCAGACTACCTAAACATACAATGCAAGCGGCAATCTTAGAATCATCGGTAATGAATTACAACCAAGAGTAAAGTGTTAGCAAACCATAAATGCTACTTTAGTCGGTATGCAAATCGGCGGCGTCTATTCCGTGCATCCCATATGTTCAGGTAACAAATACACTTAAGTGGCACTTCATCATTCCTGCAACATTTCAATTTTTTTCCTGAGTCAATCATTCGTTATCTGTAATGTTTATTTTTCATTTATCCTCTGATAAATATAAATCGCTTTTAATTGCGAAGCTGAAAAAAATGCACACAGACAATAGCAGTTTTTTTTTAAATTGCCTTTTAATAAAAGCCGTCCACGTTTTAATTGATCAATACTTATGGTTTAATCGTAGTTTCTGACAGCTGGGGTTTTTTCGTACGTCGATGTCAGTTCTCTTGCAGCGTCATTCACTCTTTTAATTACAATTCCACAGTTTATCGATAATCGCCGATCTGTTTCTCAGTACTAAAATCAAAGTAGCGGGAGAAGAAAGTTCTTTATTTTTGATTATTGCAAAAAAGAAAAAAAAAATCTTGATGCTTCTTAAACACCATCAGCAGATATTTTCGTTTTAAGGAATGTTTCTCTTGTGACACCATACATATATACGGGTAGCAAATATACCTAAGAGTGCTTCAGAACATGTAACCGTAAAGTCGTTGCCGCGATCTCATTTTTCCCGCCGCCTATCATTCTTCATTTTTACTATGTCAAAAGTTTATCTTTCATCAGCTATCTGCATATATTTTCAGTTTGAAGAGTGTCTCCAACGCAAAAAAAAAACAAAATAAAATAAAACGAAATTAAAAAAAGCTCTTTCACCGGAAAGAGTATCCAATGAATGAGCAATTTTAGAGTTAATTTTATCATACAAAAGATTAATCAGAAAATCAGGAACCACCATGTTCAAGAATACTTTTGTTTCCGTTTTGCAATGTTCGACTCGCTTGTCTCTTTAGCTTGAACTTTTGATCAATATCCAATATTCCGAGACTACCTCACGCCGCCATGAGAAATATACTGAAAACGGAAATGCTCTGCGAGATTGTTTTAACTTTTGAATCAACAGATCTCCATACTTCAGATTTTGGTTCCAAATTTCAAACTAGTTAACAAAGTGTAGAAAAGAAAAAAAGAAATATACTTCAAATTATCAAAGTAAGTTTTATTATGGATGTTTGTTGTGATACAACTTAATTGTTTGTAATATTTAACCAACTCCGGGTCTCTCGCAAGAAAAAGCTTGTTTTTGAGTATTTTAAGCATAATATCAGTACCAAAAATTTAAATCTTTAAATTACCATTCTTGAGATAAGATTCATAAAGTTATTTCTAATCGCATCATCTTCTCCGTTCTAGATATTGTCATCGGTTTGTTCTCTCATGGTGCCAAAATAATACAATAAAAAATAGTTACCCCTAATTTAATTGGGTCGGAAATCGCTGACCGAAACGATATATATCAAGGTATCTTTCTGTAAAGCATTTGCAACCATTTTCGTCTGAGGTCGAGTTTCCTGCTTTTGGAGGACCTTGCTGGATAATTTCACTTCAAAGGTACCAGTAACATTTTCTTTTTATGCTGATCTATGTCTCTCAGTTGTGCCTCATGTTTTATGGAAGTGTTAGCTTGCAGTATGTGGTAGAAGAGATTTCAACGTAACGCAGTTAAGTCAGTGAAATTGTCGGCTCTCCTGCGAAGTATGTTTTCAAAGATAGGTGATGTGAATGACAAGAAGCAAGTTACGGTAGAATAAACTAATCTGCCCTTGTTTAGCTTATTCATGATTTGACACAATTATTGCATTGTTTTTGGGAAAAACAGAGAAAGCTTTCTTTATGAGCAACAAAACTAAATGGCATATCCTTTTAATATTTTCTACATTTTTACTTCAAGATGATTACAAACATTCAGTAACATTACGAAACCTCGCTTTTAAAGATTATTTTTTGAAAAAATAAAGTGCGCTAAAAAAAAGGTTGCTGAACTTGGATTAGAGTCTTGAATCGCCTTGAGAAAAATATGGATACAAACTCTTCACAAATAACTTAGAATTGCTTTGTTTCGTAAATCAAACGTTTCAAGCCTGACTCTTTAACGCGCGCTACATCCGTTGCCAAATTTATGTCTATTATTAATTTAGAACAACGCGACAGGGAGAACATACTGATGTGGTCAGTAGTATCTACAGCATAGCAAAATCTATATTGTTATGGTGTCTAACAAACATTCCGCAAATATTCCCAGTTTTTTTTCCTCAGCTGGGTGCACCATAAACATTGTGGATCGGTCCGATAGTCGAGCTGTTTTTCAGTGCCGAAGGAAATATTGGATTCTGTAAGTCATTGGCCTTCCGTTCTAATTATCACTGAAATTTACAATATAATTGTGTGGCGCCATCGAAGATTTTTTATCAACAGCTTTAAAAGGTGGTTCCAAATTCGAACGCCTTTCCTTTTCCCTGGGGCTCATCAACCGAATTTACAAGTAGAGCGAAAGTATTGAGCTAAGAATTAGTGCTCTGTAAACCTTTTTTACCGTTGTCCGTTCAACCTGTTTTCAAAGAGGTTATCAGACAGCTTATATTGAAAATTTGAACGGGCTGGTTTGTTTGAAGACCTAGAAAGAACTTATCAGGACTTTTATTTGTATCTTAAACCATATCACTCTTAAGATCTCATTAATAATTCTCCTCACTGACTACCACATTATTCTTATGATCTAAGTTCAAAGAATTCGGTGTTGCATCAACTAATAACCCAGTCGATATTATTTTTGTTCTCATCACTTTTCTGCTTGATATGGTATGAATATTGCAAGGATAACTTCTGTCTTAATCACCTATGGGAGTTTCAGGGTTAAGAGGAGTACAAAAACACCGTAGGGAGAGATATGAAAAGATTAGCGATGGAATTGTTGTAAAAGCCATATTGTGGCCAAGGCAAGAGATTATGAAGAGGTTATAATCTCTTGAGCCAGGTTAATACTGAAGCCTTTTACCACAGTTGTTTTATACCAGACCTGTACATGTATTTGGCACTGGGGTTGCATGATTTCAAGAAACAGAAGAACCATGATTTTCGTAGAACGTAAAAATTCGTAGATGAACACTACTGAAGGTAAAAAACTTCGTGACCATTTGAAAACTTGAGAACTCAGATCTTTCTCGAAAAAGTGGGAGTTCAAAATCACAACAAAAGTTTATATATTGGTGGCGGAGTATCGATTGACAAAGAAGTGTATTTGCATTCATTATGAAAATAAACTGTAAAAAAAGCTTAAACAGCAAGAAGAGGCCGAACTGTCACAAACACATAAAACAACTTTCTGATGCAAGAGAACTCACCCAAGGTATATGATGACTATATTTGAAAGAACGTAGTTCTTGTCACGCGATTTCGATCGAAAATGTCTTAATATCTAAATGCAACTTGAGTGACCGGAGTTCTCTTGAAGAAACAGCACCTCATTCTAATGAAATTCAAACAAACTGCTCTTGCGAGACTAATGACTTTTAATGACAAAACTTCTGCTGAGCCAGTAAGTTTGAAAATTGGGAATAGTTTGTCCTTAGTATTGAACATTTCGTGTAGTTTAAAAAAAAGAGCTATATACATTGCAAATATTTGTTAAAAAGTAAAAACTATTTATGAATTAAGGGGGGAAAGTTTCTAAAGAAACTATGGTGCTGCGACGGTGGGAGAGCATAACAGGTTAATTTACTGATTATCAACTGAGTTGATGACGTAAATTGGCCACCGCAAAGAGTTTAAAAACTGATGTTTCGAGCGTTAGCCCTTCGTCAGAGCGAAGGCGTCAGCTATTAAATTTTTTACGGTGGCATGGCCAATTTACATCATAAACTAAATTAATGATACCAAATTACCCTGTTTTCGACACTAGCTCATAATCAGCCTCTTAAGGTAATTATCATCATCGTGATGATTGCCTACTGTTAAAAACATTTGGTTTTTACTATTTGAATATATTTTCGCCCATCAATATATATTTCGTCGGCGGTTTTTTTTTGTAGTCAAATGCCGGCATTATGCGTAGAGTTTACAGTAAAAGCAAAGTTACTTTGTAGTTTAGATTTTCCGATTCAAAGTAGGCAAACAGTGTAATAATCTGAAGTGCGGTTAGATCGCTTAATTAGCATCTTAAAAGAAGCGTTTACGTAAAGGAAATGGTGGATAAAGTCGAATTGAACAAGCTTAATCAAGAATATACATTTTTCTAAATTCCTGAGCGATATTTAAGATGATGATTTGTTTCTTAGAATTAAAAAAGGAAAGAGACTTCTTGAAGCCCCGACCAAAAATTAATAATCCTACATATTTCAGCGATTTTATGATTTCCGCGCTATACAAATAATTGGTATGGTAAATTATGATAGTAAAGGTGACATATTTGCTTTAGGCTAAGTTATTGCATGCATACAACTTATGCTCTGTATTGCGTTCCGCCCCCTCTCAACTGAACTGAGTTCATTGAAATTCAAGGTTTTTTCTTCCTTAGACGATATCAGTTGGAAAAAACAAGATGTACAAAACTGGAAAAGGAACGGTTTAAAACATTTTTACCGTAAGAAAATGCCTGCTTACATCCCTAGGGTAATCTTCACTATGCGACAGATCCTTTGCGTCGGTTGCTTTTGTTTCCAACCATCACTGACGAAACTGACAGTCATTTGTTAGCTATTACGTAACACCTTTTTAGAAAAGCTAATTTGAACAAGTCCGTTAGCAACATTGAGTGCGGTTAGATGTGTTTTCTTAGCTAAACAAACACAGATTTGGATATATTAAGAATATTACTTCGTGTTCTCGCAAAGAGCGCCCTTTTCTCTTGCTAAAGCAAACGGTTTATTGAAGCGTACTGAAAGACAAGTTTTGCAGGTAAGAGACTTCGAGCGTTGTTTTTCGCAATAATTACAGGTGCATTTTACAGATGGAGTGGAATAAATTTAAATTTAGTTGATACATTGTTTCGTGTTGCCGCAGAGCGCATTCAGGTTACGAACTGACACAGACCGTTCGATTGGAATATTAGTTTCCCAGGGAAAAGAGATGTTTGAGTTTCATAACAACTTAAGCCCAGTTCACAGACATGTACAGTGCAACAAAAAGTACCAAAGTGGATATGCATGCTCTTTGTTCCGTGTTCACTCGTTTAGAAATCGCGTGCATTTTAACGATTGAAGGTGATCGTTAAAGCAAATAGTTAACATGTTTCGTGAGTGAAAAAAATTGTTTGACTGATTGTCAACAATTTTGAGAACAGTTCGTAAAGCAAAAGCAAAATACAAGCGCTGAATTTGATAAATACGGGTTTATCGTTGCGTGTTCGTGGAGAACACGCCTGACGGATTAGCAAGTGAAACAAACTGTTTAAGTGAACGCAAAAATAGTTTTGTAGATAAGAAAGCTATTTGCCAGATTTTTGAAATGATTTCCGGAACAGTTCATGTACAGTTTCAAGTAGAGAGAGAGGCAGTTCCCTAAACACGAAACAAAACGATTGCTCTTTCATTAGTTTGCCTGGAAAGAGGCTTTCACTTCTTTCTGTTACTTTTCCTTTTGTTTGTTGTTCGTTTTTTTTTTACTACAAATTTGTGTGGTTGTTTTGAAAAATTGGTTATTTATTTTTTCATTCTGAACAAAAGGGCCAATATAAACTAGTATAGCCCCAAGGATGCCACTTATTTTAGCCTGGTCTTGAATAAATGCATCGCAGGAGCCCTTTCTTTCGCTGAGGACATGTTCTCTGAGTGCGTTTTGTTGTGTTTGTCTCTGAGTTTGATTGTAAAATCGACATTGACTGTGCCTTCGCTTTAGAAACGAAGCAGCCGTTTACGCGCACATGCAAGTGCCTCAGTTAGCTACAATGTGAATACATACCAAGATCTTAACTTTAAACCAGTAATGTAAATAGAAAAGGTAATGAAAAAGAAAATTTTTTATATACTTTGATCAAAAGTCCATCTTTCAGCATAGTGATAATTTTGACGAAATTTAAAATTACTTGTAGAGAACACAGCTGTGATTTACCAAAAAGTTGGTTCGAAAACTTTTCGTCAAAATACACAGCCACCTTAGAGGCTACATAGAAAAAAAGAATAACCTTTTTTTAGGAAGACTGATTTGTCTTAAAGCGCTGCAGGCAGTTATAAATTGAAAATTACTTGTAGCGAACACAGCTGTGATGATACAGTTTCTCTTGTTGTGTTTATGAAAATCAAATAGCGCCTCTCAGGAGCCTACTGTTATTAAATGTGAGTGAAAATAGTCGGTTGACCGAGGGTGTTTTCCAAAAAGTTGGTTCGAAAACTTTTCCAATCTGTATGAAAAAGGTATTTTTAACTGATGAACATATCGAATGTCAAAAACCTTCTCAGTACGCTAATGTTTTATGACGTACTGAATCGAGTATGAGGAAAAAACGTAAGACTTCTTGAAAATTGTTGCTTTTTGTATGTATTTTCTTGTTAAATGGATCGTCAAAATATACAGCCACCATAGAGGCTACATAGGAAAAAAGAATAACCTTTTTTTAGGAAGACTGATTTGTCTTAAAGCGCTGCAGGCAGTTATAAATCTCATTTAAGACAACAATAGTAACACAGGTTAAGTCTTCATTAGCACAAAATACGAATTGCAACTTAAGTTAGAGTGCTATTGTTTTACATGTAAATACAAGAAAAGCGGCTGCGTTCTTCCTCTAAAATTCCCACCCTTAATTATCGTTAGCCCACACCACAAACAAGGAGTTAAATAGATTCTCTTATCCATTCTGGCATCACAACTTTAACAAAAGAAATAACCTTTAAAATTTTCCAAACTTTTTTCACCTGTAAGATTTTCAAAAGACATTTTCAACAAAACCACCTTAAAGTTGATAAAAGTTAGATCGCTGACATTTGTTTTTTCTTAATAAGCCACCGTGTTAAATTGTTCGCAAAATGCAGTATATAAACAGTGACAACATAATTCAAAATTAATATAGATATGATATTTTTTTTAAGAATCTCGTTTGTCTCGGATAAAAATAAATTGATATAGGTTCTTAATAATCTGTGATGTTTACAATAATGCTGTAAGTTAGCTTTTAGAAAATGCATCACTTGGCAGTGAGGTGCATAAAACAACTTTGGAGGATGAGATAAAAATGTTTTTAAAAAAATTAATTTTGGACGAAAACAGGCATAAATGTTTCTTTCATACTAATGACATTTAACTAAATTTACAAGAAACAAATTTAAATTTCAGGATTTAACAACGGATTTTCTCAGGCCTGTGATATGACGAAAATGACTGTTAGGTAATTTGTCTAACAATGTACCGCATTATGATGATAATAATGATGTCATTTTCAAATCTTGTTTACTACAACTGCAATATAAAACAACTGATACATGGATCTTAATTTTTATCACAGTGAGGCAATCAAATAAAGTTGGCCAGATATCTTGAATTATTAAAATAGTTTAGAAATTTAACAACATGTTGTTCTTTAAATAAAACTGAATGTGTAAGTGGTTATACCTCACTAGAGTTGAAGAGTTTTCATTGATCTACCTGGGACAGCTTTCAATTGTGAACGATTTAACGAAGAAGTACTTTCCAGATATATAAAATGAAATTAAGTTTCATTAGGGAACTGTAGGAGAGCTTGTCTCGAATTAATTTCTTTTATACTCTCAGTATGAAAAGTAAACTTTTAGAAACAATCCAATCTGGAGAACTAAATTAAACTTAATAAGATATAACTGTCACGACTAGTATACTGTTTATATTATGTCTTATTGCAATTGTTTGTCAGTGAGAGCTCAGAGGTAACGGCTGGTCAGGAAGGCAAGATTCACACCTTTAAGACGATAGAAAACCGCCGGTTTCATTTCCAAAAAAAACATTCTCATCGACTCTAAGTTGGTCATTTAACCCTAAGTATCATCATAATTTTGCTTTTTCCGTGATAATGGCTCTCCTTTAAGAGCAGTTTTCGTCGACCGATCGTTAGAGACGAGAAGGAAATATTACAATTTTATCATAATACTCACTCATGTAAAACCTGCGTCAGTTTCACTTGATTGTTTTAAAATAATACTATTCTCATTAAAAAAGATAACAGTTTGAAGCCAGTATACGTATGGATATATGAACGAAATTTAGATCTGATTAATGAAAGATTTATTGAATAAAAACTTATATAAGGCGGACAATTTCGCTGAGCTTGCGATGAAGCTGAATCCACATCCTTCCCTTAACAAGAAAACTGGTGCGGTAAGCTTTATAGAAGCAATTCTTATATAATACCGTTAAAAGCAGCTACAATTTTAGCGAATGTCGATCCAAGAGAAGCTGGTATTTTATATTTTATTGAAATACTTTAGAACTTTGAAGATGAAGAGAGTTTAACTGTGAAAAGATATGATGAATTATCTGATAGAACTGAAGGAAATGTGAATTTCTCTTAGCAGGTGAAATATGAGTATTGTATAAAATGTCAAAAAAAAAACTTTATCACCACGGTCTTTCCCTCATTCCTCGAACCTAAATGATCACAACACAAACGATTGAGAGATTCTTCTCATATCGCGGGTCAATTTTCAAGTTTGATAACCTTAGCGTCTTAAAGTAGTAATATGTCTTGCAATAGTTGCACCCTAGCGCTCACTGATTCAAATACACCATCTCCTGTGTGTGGCATAACTATTTCAAGGCCGAAGGTCGACTGTGTCGAGGCATGCTTACGTAGGACCAGAAAATTTTGAGTACTATAAAAATTGAAACAAGATTAATTTCAAATTTTGTCGAAATTCTTTTAGAATATTGAACAGTTCAACCCATTTTTTTCTTTAGTTTTGTCCTACACAACACAGGACACAAGTTCCAATAGAGTCATTTAGCCCTTAAGAAATCAAACCGAGTCAAACTTGTTATACTAGATAAGAGCTGAGTGTCTTTTGTTTTTTCTTATCTACAGTTAATCCCTGAGCAATGTACAACTTACTTCTTGGCCTGTTTCTGATCACATTCCAAGTGGGTTGCTATGGCGCCCCGGGGCCAAGGATGAACGGAAAACAAGTTGTAAAAAGAGCAGGTAAGTGGAAAGTACACTAAGCATATGCAAGAATAACTCTCTCCATACAATTTTTTAAGTGACTCTCTTACTGAGTAATTTTCATGGCCATTACGATTTTCAAGTCATAACCTGTGAAATTTCTGGTTGTTTTGAAGATAGTACCATTGTAATCTCTTCCTGTATTTCTGAAATGTGGGATATTTTGAACCGTTTTAATTGGTCTTCATCGGGTTTTGTGATAAAAGGATTACACTGTATTTGAATTTTCAGTTTGCACCGAAGATCAGCTGGACAAAAATCCAGGATGTCTCTACTGGAAACAGAGTGGGTACTGTGATTATGAGTACGTGAAGGCGAGGTGTCAAGAGAGCTGTGGCTTTTGTGATCGTAAGTGAAACCTAATTAAATCTTCATTTAATCCCTAAGGTTGAATAGCGTCAAATTTCCCCACACAATATCACTTCGGTATCAAACATTAAGGTTAGGGGAATGAAGGAAAAGATCACCAGCTCAAAAAGCTCATTATGATCGTTAAATGAACGCTCCTTGACGGTAGCATTGGAAATGTCTTAAGAACAGTGTGGAGAATATATGTACACTGATCTTAGGGTGTAAAAGACTAGATGAAGTTGAAAAAAAGGGTGATTCTAATATATAAGTTTCATATTCAAACAAGGATTTAGGTTAATTTTTGCTGAGCTGTTACTGCTAGCCTCTCAGAATCCTTACCTTATTATAGTCTCATCCGTGGTCGGTTATATACCCCCATCTTAATCACTTTTTTACCACAAATTTTCTCATTTGTAAATCCCCACCTAACGTAGTTTGGTTACTCCCAAAATCTAGAAAATGTGCAACTCCATTCTAGCCTTGAACTCCATTGAAAATTGATCCCTATTAGGGTCAAATTAGTGATGAAAATGCGACCTCCCCATCAGCCTATTTCTGGAAGGAACCCCCCCCCCCTCCTCCACAGTGATATCTCTCCATTCAACAGTAACGTAGTTATTGACTAAGACAGATCACAGACTTATAAAGATAGGTGTCGAAATAAGACAGAGACCTTGAACTAATCGACTTTTTTTCTTTTTTCAGCGCCACCTCCACAACGTAAGATCAAATAGAATCTTGTTAAATATTCAAACCGCATTTGTTGTAAACAAAATATAACTCAAGGTCCTTCATAGCTTAGCTGTTTGGACTTCTCAAGCGACACGCTCCCTTCTTCACAAAGAATGCTGGAAAACCACCCAGCCTTCCATTTATTTGGAGTTCGTGTTTACAATATATATTCTCTCATATTTATTATTTAAGCTTCTAGTTTTGCAATAATGCTTCAGCATCATATGGGCATAGCATCGATCGCATACATAGCGGGCGCAAAAGGTGAAACAGCACAAAGAGAACCACTCTAAAACCATACAAAAAATGTGAGGCGGTTGAAACTTCGTTTGTCAAAACATCAAGCTTTAAAAACGGTAGAAAAAATTACGTTTGAATTGTGCAGAGAGGCCATCTTGTCGATCCGCTTTCCATCAGTGTTTTTGCCTCGTTTTATATAGTAGTACCGTCACTTACATTGAGCCTTTTGTTTCCTTAATATGGTAAAATGGCGTAATAGAATAATAATAATATTTCCTTTTCCTCTGATAATATGAGAAGCATTCACTCGACAATTTCATAACTTAATTTTGAACCAGGTTCTGTAGATCTCTTGTTGTTTGGATGATTTCCTCTATAAGTGATCTTTTTTAAAATTGTGTTTCATTTCCGTTTTCGTTTCAGCCGGTTTTGAAATTCTTAGGATCATTTGAATTTCCGTGTTTATAGCGTGTATAAATATCATTCATTAGAATATGGAACATATATAATGTTAAATAATATGAGAGTTACCGTGTCGTTTTTACTTTTTTTCATAATGCATATTCTCCACAGCGTGCAAAGCAAATGAGAACGATAAGAAAAACGGATGTAAAAGTTGGAAAAATCAAGGGTTATGTAAGAATGGCCAATATCACCAGTTTATGAAAGAAAACTGCTATGTTACGTGTGGATATTGTATAGGTAAGTGACATTCCTCATTTGCTTCATATAGAACGTTTCCCGAGATTGGTTCCTAAAACGTATAAACGAAACCAACTTTATCTAATGGTCATGTCAGGGACAACCATGAACACGTACAAAGCGGACAACCAATTTGCTATTGGTTCTGTTTTCAATTGCTGGAGAGACAACCGTGAATTTCCTGACAACTTCGCGAACCAATTACACATCGAAGGATAGGTAAACCAATGTTATCACAGATTACCTTCCTTTTTCTTTATTACGTTTCCAAGAGGCCGATTACTTCGCAATTTAATTTTTCACGTCAAGGAAAACATTACTATTAAAACTACGGTTTCTAAGAGAAACTTTTGCAAAACATTGAAACGACTTGTTTACATAAATGACTTCCGAGATTCGTGTAGTTTTCTCAAACCTTTGCAAACTAAGAGAGGAGTGTCTGAAAAAAGTGTGTTATAAACCAATTATTGAAGTCAGGTTTTCGCATGGAATTATGAATCATTAAACCTCGTGTCTCTGTTATCTGCCTCAGCCTTGGGCTTCGGTAGATAAGTCAGACCTTGGCATTGATAATTCATGATATCATGTTCAACCTCATCCAATAATTTTTTGATGTTGAAATATGATAGAGATCTTAAATTAATCAACATTTTTTCTTGTTTCAGCGCCTCCAACGTCACCTCCAAGAGCTAGTAAGAACAGATTACAACTGGTTAAAGTCCTAGACCGTATATATGTAAAAGAAAGCGTAACGCACTTTTCCTCGCAACCGTTGTTTGAATCGTCAAGCAACACTTTCCCATTGCATTAAAAGGCTGCTGAAATTTCCTGCCCCTCCTTTTTTCGTGAAGTATGCGACAAAACGTAGTGATCTGCGCTGCCTTTGCTTGGTTTGTGATGCAACAGGCTTTATTTAGAATTTCAGACCAGAATTCCCATCCCTTTCATAATATCCAACATTCAATAACTGATGCTGGCAAAAATAACTAAGCACGATAACACTTGGCAAGAGGCTTATGAAACATTAGACTTATTACTCAATTGTCTTATTTGATATAGGGGAAGTTGTTTAAATCTATTATTAAATTGAATTAAAAGGAGAGAAGATTCAGAAGATTAAACCACCAATGTAGGAAAATGGTAACGAGCTACAATAAATAAGGCCTATCAAAACTGATAAGTGAACCCATACACATATTTTATTGTTCCTACGCTAAGCTTTGTCGTTTAACATTTTTTCTTAATTTGTGTTTCAGCGCCAGCCCCACAAGGTAAGTTTTATCCAGCCAGTCACTGTGGTATGTAGAGAAAAAGACAAACCGACTGGCAAATAGAAAGATAGACCGACAGACAGACAGACTGACAGAAAAGATTGAATGACGGGAAGACTGACAGGCAGACTGACAGGAAGACTGATAGGCAGCTGACAGACAAACTAACCGACAGATAGGCTGACGGAGAGACAGACAGACAGAATGACAGATAGACTGACAGAATGATGGATAGACTGACAGAAAGACATACAGACAGATAGACAGATCGACAAACAGACAGACAGACTGACGGTTAGACTGACGAACAGACTGACAGATAGACCAACAGAGAGACGGGCAGACAGACAGACAGACTGACAGCCTGATAGACTGACAGCCTGATAGACTGACAGCCTGATAGACTGACAGCCTGATAGACTGACAGCCTGATAGACTGACAGGCAGACAGACAGACAGGCAGACGAAGTGACTGACAAATAGACTGACAGACTGACAAAAAAACTGACAGACAGACTGACAGACCGATAGACAGACAGACAACCAGATAGACTGGCAGTCTGACAGGCAGACAGCCTGACAAGCACACGGACAAACATTTGATAGAAAGCAAAAATAAAGATCGTGACTAAAATACCACATGAGTCCTATGAGTGACATACAGGTAACATATGACTGAATGAGAGTAACGTTCGAATACATACGGAAATTACTGATTTTTTGAATTGCATGAAGAGCCATTTTCTCCCTGTCTTGAACTGATAATGCGAACGCACTCTTATGTGCCACTCTTCGTACTTGTATGGTGCTTTTTTTTCATGATCGTAAATAAACGCACAGAGATAGGTGTAGAGGTAGACAAACGGACACGGAGAAAAACACTGTTCATTTACAGACGTACTAACACAGAGCTGCGCAATATCCCACCAGAGAAAATTAGCAAACATCAGTCCTAATCGTGTTCATTAAACACTTTTGCTCGAGAATGAGCCAAAAGAGGATTGGAGAGAGAAATAGAAAAGAAAATTGATTGATGCCTTAAAAGTTGTGATTGTTACTTATCTCACGATGCAGACACCATATTGAAGATGGTAACATTATGAGACAAAAAACGATAGTTTAAAATAAAACTTTGATTTTCACCTCACTTTCCAGTGTACGATATACAATGACATTTACTTCAAGTTTTAAGGTGAAAACCTGACAGAAAATGTGCTTTCAGCATTGCTTTTGCTAGTAGATTTAACAATGTCTTGTATCAAAGTAACCATAGCACATAGTCTCGTAATTTGTTCCGCCACGATATTATAAAAAGTTTTTAATCTCTTGTGTCCGCATAACTCTGCATAACCACTACTGATTAGTGTTGATAATTCCCACGCACATCTTCAGAGACTTTGACGTCTTTGATCATTTTCAATATGGTATTCGAATCATTTTTGTTTTTGTTTGCTCATGTAGTGGACCCTGATGCCTGCCTGAAAGCCCATAATGAAAAACGAGCACTTCACCCTGGAACTCCAATGCTGGTCTGGGATGATGCACTGGCTCAACATGCTAAAACCTGGGCTGATCACCTGGCTTCCAAGGGAACGCTGGAGCACGCAGAAAACACTGGAGAAGGAGAAAACCTTTATTATTTTGGGACTTCGGGCTCATATGTGGCGACATGTGATGATGCAGTGCAGGCTTGGTAAGTAACTTTCCGTTTAATGAACCCCACTCGATTGGACCTCTATTTACAGTCCTCCCTCGCGCCAAGATAGCGAAATATTATCGTCAGTTAATATTGACCTCGTAGTGAATATATCTTTGACGAATGGTTAACTGCAACAGATTATTTTTAGTCCGGATATTACTGATAAAAATGTTGCTTCTTCTTAGTAAATTTTAAAGGTGATGACATCAGATGAAATTATCGGATTATGGATGTTGTTTTTATCTACAATCAAATTATCTTATCGATTTACATTCAAAGAAATGAATATTAGCCATAACGTAGAATCCCTCATCAAATCTTGTGCTCTTTCTTCTCGCTCTACGTCTTTCTGGACTCCGTCTTTCGCTTAAGCTGCCTATGAAAATTAGGCTTCTGTGTTGATCTTGCAATCACAGGTACGATGAAATCAAGGACTATGATTACCAAAACCCTGTTTTCAGTCTTAGTACTGGCCATTTCACCGCGGTAAGTTGTGTTTGTTCTCAGCTGTGGGTACTCAGTTGTCAAATAGCATGCTGATTCAAACACGAAGTTGGTTTTGAGTGAGTCCAAATGGTTGTTTACGTTGCTTTTCTACAACGATCACAGATAATGCCATTAGTTATATCCAATGATGTTATTTTCCAGTTTCTCTATTTTTGGTAAGAAGAAAGTGGTCTTTTTATCTATGTACTTCAAATGTATGTGTGTATTAAATTTATTTACAAAGGACGACGACAACCAGTTAAAAAATGAAAAACTTGCGGCCTTCAAGTTGACAATGTCACAATTTAAATGTCTAAAGATAACTCTAGGGAAATTGGTGCCTAAATATGAAAAAAAAAACCGGTTAACCAAAATCAAAGTTTTCCCTTTTAAAACTCTACACACTTTGACATTTCCTAAAATTTTAAATGCATAAAAATCAGTGAGGCTTATTATTAAATTAATTACACCTTTACTCTTTTTCCTTTTTTTTTTTTAATTAGGAAATTACAAAATTTTGTCTGAAATTAACCAACTTTGCGTCACTGAAATTAATTTTGCAGGTGGTTTGGAAAAGCACCACTCGTGTGGGAGCGGCTCTTGTGAAAGTAGTGGATGGCGGATACACCAAGACTTACGTCGTGGCGCGCTACTTACCACAAGGAAATATGAAAGGACGCTTCGCGGAGAACGTGCTGCCTTTGGCCTCATAGGTAAAGTCTTCATTTATGTGTAAGTACCAATTGTAGCGCCTCATTACACCCGTAAATCTAAACGGATATGGTAAGTCTGTAAGTCTCTAACCAAGCGGTCCACCCAGGCGGAGCTTATCCCGGTTTCCATGTAGCATGGAACGACTGGGAGTATTTCTTCTCCCCCCCTGGAGGAAGTACTGGTCCATCGCAAGGTTACCCACCAACATTTCATCAGGCTTCCCTGACAATTTTCCGGTCCCCATTTATACTCCGGGAGGGAGAGAGGCATGGTGAGTGGAAAGCGTCTTACTCATTAACACATCACATTGACGCAGCCAGGTCTCGAACCCAGACCTCTCCACCCATAGTCCAGTGCACCGACCATTTGTCCACTGTATCTCGCAGTATCGGAAAACTGTCAGGGAAATCTGATGAAACATTTTAGGGTAACCTAGTTATGAACTAATGTCACTAACAAAAGGATTAAAATACTCTGTGTCATTTCATGCCACAAAAATCGGGACTAGCATCTTTATCAGTGTGCGTCACTGAGTCCCATAGGCAGACTTACTGTAAGAGGTAACACACACTGACATAGTCACATAGGGGATGGACATTATATCCGAATGCGCTGGAGCCAAAATGGCTGACCAGATAGAAAACTTCTGTAAACACCAACACATTTTTCTTTAATCGAAGTCAGGTTTGAAGGGTTTAATGATACATTTTCATTAACTAAATAATTGAGAAATGGCAGTTGTCGGTAAGTAAGTAAGTAATTAAGAAAGTAAGTAAAGGCATTATTTTAAGAGGGTTACATCGAACAGTAGTAAAACACTGATAAACTCGTTACCGTCATTGCATTTTTAAAAAGACCTAAGAAATCGGTATTATAAAATTTCAAAAGCTTTATACAGCGCAAGGTTAAAAACTTAAAAATAAATATCTTATCAAAAATGAAAAAGTACAAAAATGTTTCCTGTATCAAAATGACCCCTAGTTACATAAACAGAATTCTAATCACATATTCGGATATCCACAATCGAGAGATAAGATATTCCAGCTTAAACTCGTTTTTACAGTTAGGACAATTAAGCAAAAATCACATTTGAAGTCGAGGAGAAGCTCTCTATTCATTTAAAAATTTCACGTACAAATTGCGCTTAAAACCTAAAGCTGGACTCTATAGTATTCCATTCCCTATTTTCCTAACCGTAAAAGTCTGTTACCCCCAGGTTTTCCTGAGTACTTTGTACAAATCGAGGGTAAGCTAGAATATTGAGTCTCTGTTTTTGAATATCCGAATGTGTAACTAGAAGTGTTTCCTTTTATTAACGAATGCTTTGTGAAAGGAAGACAATTAAGGTTATTAAAAACGAGTTATCGTAGTACTATGTATTCTCATAACTTGTTTAGAAACAGGGGAAAGGGAGGTTTCTGATCGTTACCTATCGGTTGTATTATGGAAGGTAAAAGAAGATCAGGAACGAATCTTTTGTTCACATAATACAACTATTAGAATTGATTTCCTGTTTTATTTTTTCAGAACATAGCTCTATAGTTGAGGAGGTCGAATGGATCTCAAGAGGTGCACCTGGTTTGTCTGTGTCGGATACATAACATTGTAACTTTAGTCTTAGACCTTAAGTGGTGCCAATAAAGAATCAACTGATAACACATAAGGACTCCCACACGTATGCTTCACATGGCCGGTATTTTCGTTCTTCCTATACTGCAGTTACCATTTAATAAGGGAACAGTCACAGTACTGTAATAAAACGCTTGTTGTCCCGGCTGACATCTCAGGTTTTTGAGAATAGCAAGTGTACTATTTCAGGGACCAGTCAGCTCGCCTATCGCCTAGGGAAGGAGAATTTTTATAGGGAGGGTGGGGGGGGGGGATCACAAGCTTTGCAAAGGGAAAAATGAACTGCAATTTAAAAGCCAGTGAGGAATATTGCAAAACCTTATGTGGGGATCTGGTGAATTTACCCCCCCCGCCGCCCACCCCCCCTCGGCGGTAATAATCACCACTCTCTTGAGTGCCTGATATCAAATAAAAATGAAGACCTCCCGCTTGTCGCAATAAAGTCGGGCATTCTCCCCTCCGAGGTAACCAAACTGAGTTGATAACGAAAACTGGCCACCGTAAAGAGTTTAAGAGCTGAAGTTTCGAGCTCGCCAGAGCGATTCAATCGCTCTGACGAAGGGCGACAACTCTAAATTAGATAAACATAAATTACCCTGTCATACCCTTCCATCGACGGAGCACCACGGTTTCTTTAGAAACTTACTTCCTTTATTACGACTAGAAACCGCTGGTTTTCCAAACGAACTTTATTGAAAGGGTGGTTAACGTGGAGAAGCAGAAGCAGCTAATTGTCACAAAGCTTTTTCCCGAAATGTGTAAGAAGCCGCTCCTTGTTTTTCTGTGCTCAACAGAATGCGTTACACTTTATTTCAATCATTATTCTGATTAGGTAGAATCTAAGAATTGAAGCTGAAATTGTCATTGTAAAGTATCTTTTGAGTATTCAAAGGCTGTTTTTTTGATGTATAGATAAAAACAAGAGGTTACCTATCGCGGCAACCCCCTCGCTTATGGGTGGAATTCCACCCATCATTTCCGCTAGTCTCGTAGAATATTGCGTTACCTTCGATTCTTTCAAAATTTGGTGTGTATGACGTTGAAATGTTAAACAAATCATGTAACGAGTTTGGAGGGCGACAGTTAAATGTGTACTACACAACACTTATTTGAGTGGTAAAATTTCATCGTCGAAGATGGCCTCATCGTCTAAGCGTGCTTTATCTCCGCTGAAATGGCTTTGGAAAAGATATTTGACGATGAAGACTCCGCTGATTTGATGGACAGTGGAGGAGAAAGTGATCTGGACCGGCAGGCGGAAAATGAGAGTGGGGATCGAGGTGAGAAGTCAATAATGGCCATTACGAAATGATCGCCATCGAACATGTTGTCTTGAAAGGCGAAGTTTTACGCCTCAGGTTGCCTTTTTGTGGTTGATTTCTCGCGTAGTTCTTGAAATTTGATTACAAATTTATTTTTGCGACTCTGAAAATCTATAATTTACGCTAAGAGTGTGTTTTTAGCGATGAGATGCAATGCGATTCAATCTATTTGCACAAGCGAAATTAGACGCGTAATTCGATCAGCTGCTATTTGTTGCCATGGAGAAATGTATTTTTCAGTTGCGTCGGTTGCTTGACTCGTCGGCGATTTTTAAATTAGTACAGTATCGCTTGTTCGTTTGGTTAATTTTGAGTATTTTATGGAATATAAATATTGTACATTTGATATTTTTTGTGAGGGAGAAGTTGGAGATGACGAGCGGCCGAAGGAGGCTAGCGCTTCCACCAAGGAACCCATGGCTCCTGGTGAGTGAAATATTTCCAACCTGCAAAATTTAGAACAGCAAGTATAATTTTCGAATGCGTATACCATAGAATAACCTGAATTTGTTTAGGATATTATTCTATAAATGTTGAGGACAACTGATTCACTGAAAATTATATTTTTGTTTGAATGTGTAGTTGCTGGCCCCTCTGCTCCTTCTGCTGCTGCCAGTCCAATTCCCCCTGTGAGTTCTGCCGCTCCCTTTGGTGAGTAAATGTTTTGAAAGGAATAAACTATACCTGTGGTATATTTTTGGTGTACCATATTTCCCATACATAGAACATTTTGCTGATGTTTATTCCAATGTTTTCAGATGTTGTGTTTCTCAGAAATACCAAAAAAAAATTGAAAATGAAAAAATATCTAAAAAAATAATTATCTTTTTTTACCTTGTTGCTTTTATCTTTGTCAGTGGGAATAGTTATGATTTAGTCCTAGTTTTCTCGGAGAGGACTCTCTTTAGTTAGTAAGGATGTTAAAAGGCAAATTCATTCACTCAGTAACACATCAGGGCCTACCCATCCTCCTGTTATAAAGTCGAATTTCCTACCAAATTTTTTTTTCTGTTAACTTTTTTGAATGACATGGGTGCACATAAAAATTCATAAAAAAATTCATTATTCATTCTTTTTCTTTCAGATTTTAAGGAAATGTTGCTGACATATTAATGATTTACTTCTGTTATCAATTGATCTTAAGTAACCTTTACCTATGAGGAAAAGTGACTTTAACCTCAAGTTTTACACAATGTCTTACTTATTATGTCTTTTAAATTTTATTTTTAGGAAAGTCCTGGGTTTCAATAATGAAATTTATTTATTTTCCTGAGAGGCTTATTTTATACACTTTAAAATGAGATATTGTAGGTGTTTTTCCTGTAAATATTTGTTGAGATATGAATTAAAAACTGAATGTGGACAATTTTTGCATTTTTTAACTGGTTTGTTTATAGAAGATTCTTGGTTCGGTATTGTAAAATTGAATTTTCCGATATTTTTTATGATCTACTCGACGGCTCAACTGGGAGATATTAGCGTGATGTTCAGGAGATGCTTGTTATCAGATAGCATTTTGAGGTTGTTCTCCCGAATTCTCTTTTTCGAATTCCTTTTTCAACCCTCTCTCAGTCAAAATATCAGTGTAAACGTTTATCCCATGTTTTGATTGATTAAATGAAAATCACAATGATTAAACTGTTTACTAATATTTGTAGGAATTGACATTTTGATTGATTTTAAATCCCCTCTACATTGAAGTCTTTTCTTTAATGATCGACAGCAAGGGAAGTCCTCGAGACCCTCAGTATTTCCGATTTGAGTCGGTCAAAAAATTCAAGTCAAGAAATTTGAAATCAAGTTAAAAAAAAAATCCGAGTAATGTTTAACCCAATGCTTAATTTGTAACCCACCGTTTATTCGCCGTCTGTATTCGGACAGAACTGTTGGGTGATAACTCGGGAAAAATCGCTAAGCAAGGGCGAATAACATCATAATTCTGTTATACAGATGTAATTAAACAACAACAAATTCCGGAACTGCCAAGCTTTCTCTCAATGCAAAAACACACAACTCCATGTCACTCAAAAGAGCGAGAATTATTTTTAATCACTGGAGGCTTTAATATCAGTACTGGAAATAGTTATCCATTCTAAAATATTATCATTACATAAATCTGTCGTTAAAATTCGTATTATCTTCGAAAGCTCACAATTTTACAAAAAAATTAGGGGATACGCATAAAATTACGTAGATAAATTTCTTGAACGTTGCGTCTCCTCTTGTTAATACCAGTGTCTCGTAAACCCAATGATGAATATAGTAAGTTTAAACACTGCGTAATAATTGTTTCAAGGTTTCATTGACACAGTTCTGTGAAATGATCTAATCGTACTACTATTTTATGTTTACAAGCTCTTTGAGTATTTTGGTTCAACAATGAAAATATCACAGACAGAAAAATTAAAACGTATTAAGATGTAAACTCAGAACATTGAGAACAACATCAATATGGAAAAATAATCGTCCTGTTGTTTTCTCTTGTCTATTGTTATAATTTCTTACAATTCTAATCTATAAAAGTTACATAGATTTCCAAGTTTGAAACAACTATGAGTTGAAATATTTAATTTTGTAGAAACGGTCCCACCGTCAATTTGTACAGGCAATAAAATGATTTCGAGTGCAATTTGGTGTTAATAAGCATGAATAAATTTTTCAAAGACAAAAAATTTGCACGAACCCGTAGGACGAGTGCAATTTGTAGTCTTTGAAAATATTCCAAGTGCTTATTATACCAAATTGCAAGAGAAATCATGTTATTACTTGTAAATATTATTCATGAAAAAACATCACATGCAGAAAGGCAAGACAAGCGAAATTTTGAAAGCGTGCACGCGCTATTTGTCATGATCTGCAGTTATGTTACAATTTTTTCATGAACGTTATTAAGTCTTTTACCCGAATCATGACTTT